CTCAGGGTGCTCCAGAAAGGAAAAGAACAAAACGAATCATTGGTGGATCAAGAGTCTTATGACTTAGTTATTTGCATGCTTCTTTCGGTAAATAAGATCGATCCTGCCGTGAAATACATAGACATGGCATTGAAATCGGGATATATGTTGTTACCGGATGCTTTTCGGAGTTGCGTGCAGAAATGCCTTTCTAATCGAAAGTTGGATACATTGGTGTCGATTATCGAGAAATGCAAAGTACTTTCTTTTTTTTTTCATGGTTATTCTACCGATTTTAATAAGAGCTTCTCTTGATACATTGCAAAAAACATTGACTCTGGTTTTATGGGATGCTGTCTTCAGAAAATGGAGGAGAACAAATCCCTATGCCCTCTTTGGAACCAAGCCATTTACCTTGCTGAGATCGCCATGCAGTGGAATAACAGTGAGCTAGCATATTATGGTCTTGAGTTCATGGTAAAGTGGATTGCCCGTGGGCAGAATTCAAACCCGCCCGATCTTTATTCGGCAAATGAAGGACTGGTTGTCTCGGCCCTTGCAACTGCCGGCCGAACTTACAGTTCCAAGCTCCTTGATGGTGCCTGGGCCATCCTCAAGCTTTCACTGCGCGGAAAGAAGCTTCCTAATCCTGAATCTTACCTAGGAAAAATATATGCCTATGCTAATCTGGGGAGTCTGGAGAAAGCATTTGTCACTCTGCTTGAATTTGAGAAGTTTTATGGAAATACAGACCGAGAAGATGTTGAGGATCTTTTTTCTCCATTTTATTCTTTAAATCCTCTGGTCATGGCCTGCTCCAAGGATGGATTTGCAACTCTAGACAAAGTAAGTTATTCTTTTTTATCCCTAGATGTGTTGTGAGTATAAGCATACTATTAGCATAATTTATTGACCTAATTTATTTATTTGGACATTTTGCTTTCTTCCATGAGTTGAAGATCATAATATATATTTTTTTCTTGTTTATCTTCAATGCGTCGTCACAGGTTTATTATCAGCTCGAAAATTTGAGTCAAGCCAACCCTCCACACAAGTGCGTTGCTGCTCTGAATTGTGTAATTCTTGGCTGTGCAAATATATGGGACGTTGATCGTGCTTACCAGACGTTTCATGCAATTGATAAAGTGTTTGGGTTGACCGCAAACGTTCATTCCTACAATGCTCTCATATGCTCATTTGGCAAGCAGGAGAAGGTACCTTATCCGAAGCTTTGCACCTTAGGCATATGATTTCAGAAAGATTCAATAAAAATTTCTAATTACTGAAGCTATATTTTCCTCCGACTTATAGTTTCTTTCTCCAAAACACACCTAGTACATGTACCAAATAGTTTTATATTATTTAATATCGATTTATTCATTTATTTTATTTAGCAATTATTATGGAGATTTATCCGTCTAGGTATTCGGTCAACAGACCAAAGAGATCTACAACTATTAATTTAAAACTTTTGGTTTATATTAGTTTGAGAGGCAAAAGATGGGTCAGTTATTAATTCACGGCTCGAAAGTAATATCTATTTTGGGTGTTCTATCAACAACCTAAGAGATCTAAAACTAGTAATTTAAAACTTTGGTTTATATTAGTTTGGGACGCGAAATTCAGGTCTTGTAATATTTACTACTAATTTAGGACCCGGATGTCTTTTTAACTTTTTTAAAGGTAGAATGAGTTTTATATATTTTATATTGAAATATTTTTATCAATAAGTTTTATATTTTTTATAGCTGATATGATATGACATACAGAAATTTGTTCCTATTTTTCATATTGTTACGTTTTTATTTATGGATGATTTTTTTATATATATTTTATTATTATATCAAAATCTTAATTTGATAATTTATAATATTTGTGCCCTTAATTGATAAATTTAACCTTTCAGACACATAATTGATAGTATCCTATCTTTCGTATCTCAATCAATTATCTTTCACGCCCATCCAGATAGTTCACTCATCTTTCAAACTCTTGACTCATAATCCATATTATCTTTTATAATTTTCTAAATTTAAAAAGTACATCTTATAAAAATTGTAATTTTTATTCTTGAGTTAATTATTTGCATAGTGACTGGAAAGGCGATCAGCTATGTTATGATTTTAAACTCATCTATTTGATGTTTTAAATCATTTTAAACAACCAGTTTTATATTCTTAATTAAAATAGTTCAAATCTGTGTCAGATATTGAGCAGTAACAAAGCTCTCCAGTTAACATAATTTCTTTGTTAATTCAATAAAAATAAAGATTATGGAAAAAAAATAATTAGCTTTAATTCTGTTACTAATTGGCATATAAAAGGAAGGAACAATTAGTCATTTTCTTGTCTGGAAATAAAACAAAGATAATAAAAAAATCATTCTTTTCTTTTTTCAAAAAAATAGAAAACATGATTGGAAGTACAACTACAATTTTTCTCTTTTATTAATTCAGATTTTTTTGCGGATAATAATTTGTCTTAAAAATTACTACTTTAAGTATTTTAAGTGAGTAATTAATGCTTCCTAAGTTTTTATGTTATTGCGGTAAATACTAATCTCTTTATGTATATATTTATATATATAGTAATAGCATTTTTATGTGTTAATTATTTCAGATTAATAGAACTTAACTGACCTGAATGAGGAGTAAGTTGTGGCAAGATGATGATGATCTTGTGAATGTTGACGTGTGTAATTTGTTGTTTTTTTCTCCAACATATCTACCACTTGATAACATTCAAACTGCCTTCCTTCTGATCCTTCAATCTTTTCGCGCACTTGAATCCATACGAATAGTTGGGTCTTCCTGCAAAATCATGTTGCTGCTGAATAATCTTTCTTATGAATAAATTCTGAAAATAATACATTTCTGTATATCAAGCTTGTAAAAATTATTGCTTGCCTGTACTGAATTCATAAGGTCTTTGATGGCACAGAGAGATGAAGCTGTGGACGTGTTTGAGCACTTTCGTGGATCAGGCATCAAACCAAATGCCACTACATATTCTCTGCTAATTGATGCTCATCTTATTAAGCGAGATCCTAAAGCCGCTCTCTCTGTCGTGGATGAAATGGTAGATTTCGAATTTATTGTTCAATATGTTTTCATTATGTTGGCCATTTTGTTCATTTAACTTATTAACACCTTTGGAGCAGATAATTGCAGGATATGAACCATCAAAGGAAATTCTAAAGAAGATCCGTAGAAGATGTATTCGTGAAATGGATTACGAATCTAATGACAAGATTGATCCTTTGGCCCGTAAGTTCAAAATTATAATGGGAAGCGAGGCTCGAAGAGATTTACTGTTTAAACTTCAGTACGCTACGGATTACGCATGATTGTAAGTTTCTTTTAAAGAACTCTTTTTTTCTTCAGCCATGTTTTTTGGTTATTCTTTCCATTAATTCTTAATAAGAAAATTGTGAAAGAATTTTCGCAATGCAACATTAAATCCCGTGTAAGGTGGGGTTTGCCTATTTTGCTTTCTTGTCAACTTCAGTACTCTACTTTGACAAAAAAAAAAAATAAAAAAATTCAGTACTCTACTACACAATTGCAGGCCTTTTTTATGCTGTGCTCAAGACAAAGACCTGGGCTTTGCCAAGTACTTCCTATTCCCTCCCGTTACCTTTGAGCAAAAACCCTCACGTCGTTCGTAGAGTATGATAATGTTCATGTGGGGCCCGAGCAAATAAATGTAATGAGGGTATTTTTTTCGTTCGATATGAATTTCACAGGTGTGCTTTCTTTTTTTTTTGTGCATTTGTTGTTTTTTTCCAGGAAGGAGAAAGGGCATTCATTGGATGATTAGTTCTCAGCGTGAGACATTTTTAATGATGGCAAATAACTGTAGTCTGTAGGCGAAGTTGAATTTGAAAATCAATAATCCCTCCATTGTAAGGCTTTTTTTGCTTGGCGACTTAAATCGTTTTTATTTAGGATTTTGCAGTCCAATGTTATGTGCCCTACTCTGGATTATGATTTCAAGTTTTGCTGCCGGTTACCCTAAGATTTATTCATAAATCTTATGATTTATGGAGATACATAGACAAACATGTAGGTGAATTGGGGTATAATGGTCTTTGAACTGAGAATGTACAGCTCTCTTAATCAATTGATGAGGTGAAAGGTACTTTGTGTTTATGGTTTGGGCTGGTTATATTTTCCAAATACTAATCTTTTTTTTTTTTTTTTTTTTTTTTTTTTTTTTTTTTTTTTTTTTTTTTTTTTTTTATTTTTATTTTTATTTTTATTTTTTCAGTGAGTATGACTGGGCAATGGGGATTGTGCCGAGCTCTTGAAATTAAACTGTTTAAGGCTTGAAATGAATTTTTGAACAAATTTGTAAAATTTAAAAATGGTGAATCAAATTCTAAATGTAGTAGGGAACATATTTATTGAATTATAATATATATATTTTATTATAATATATATATATTTGGACAATAAAATATGATTTTAAAGAAGTACTATAAAATATGATATATTATGTAGGGAAAAGTATACAAAATAAACTCAAATATTATCAAATAGGGGAGAGTATTTCTTATTATAAAGCTAGTTGAGTTTTACAAAATGAGTTATGCAAAATGTTCTCATTGCATTACAAAATATTGTTAATAGCACATTTCTATCCCAAAATTTAAAAATTAATTTACTAGTGTAAGTGAAAAGAACCTTAGACCTACAAAATATTCTTGCTCAAAATATTAAAAGAATATATAAGCAAATTTTATTTTATATGTGTAACAATTTTCTACATTATATTAAAGATAACTTGGGACAGTCAAAATAACCTCAAAACTCAAAGAATGTTTTATGTTTTTTCATCTTAAACAAGAAGTCAATTAGCCCAAATGAGGTAAATGATAAATATAATTACCACACTAAGTTATTCATCTGTAGAACAACACAATTTCTAGAAAGCAAAAGCTTCAACATAAGTGAATAAAACAGAGTAGCAATGCAAATGCAGGTGAAATTTTCCTCTTCTTAAGCCCTTCGAATGCCCGTTTACTTCTGCAATGAGTAAACAGACATCATTATAATGGCGACAAAATTTTCAGGTTGAGCTCGGTTTTCATTTTTTTTAAATTTTAAATAATCACCTCTGGCTCTGGTTTTGCTTCCTTAGACTCTTCAGCTTTGGAGTTCTCCTCACCTGCAGAGAGTAAAATTTCAATATGTAAAATCAAAATCAAAAGAGGGTTAAGAGTTAGTTTTCATATACTTCAAACTTTATAAACGATTTGAAAAGATAAATCATAGGAAATACAATGCATGGCTGCAAGGAACTCAAGAAGCATATCGAAGAGTAGCATAATCGAACAAATCCTATCAAATTTGTTAAAAACTACGAATAAACTGTTTTTTTTTTTTACTCTCGTGCTCGATTGAACCCATTTTCAAAAGGTCAAAAGGATAAAAAGGTACATTTACCTCCATCCTCAGGCAAATCAGATGTCCAGAGTGTGAGATTATCTCTCAAAAGCTGCATAATCAAAGTGCTGTCTTTATAAGACTCCTCGCTCAAAGTGTCCAGCTCAGCAATAGCCTCGTCAAACGCTTGTTTCGCCAGGTGGCAGGCCCTGATGTGATCGACACAACACACACAAACACAGATGGTTCGGAAGATTCTTGAAATGAACGTGGCTCGGAATAATCACACTAAAGTATTTATTTTTATTAAAAAAGAAAAAAGAGTACCTCTCAGGAGAATTCATGATCTCATAGTAAAACACCGAAAAGTTCAGAGCCAGGCCAAGACGGATGGGGTGGGTCGACGGGAGGTCCGTGTTTGCAGAGGCCGAGGCAGCCTACAGAGGTTTGCAAAAGAAAACACATATAAAATAATAATAATAATAATAATAATAATAATAATAATAATAATAATAATAATAATAATAATAATAATAATAATAATAATAATAGAAAAAACAAAGTTTTATTAACTTCTTTGTCAGTGTTATATTTTCTATATCAATTCATTCAACTTTGATTTTTATTGACATGCCTCGTAGCCCTTGAGCGACTGCTCTGCTGCTTCTTTCCTCTCCTGATCGCTCGTGAACTCAGCAAGGTATCGGTAATAGTCACCTTTCCTGAAAATATAATTGATTTTTTAATTGAAAAAAACATATATTATCGACCGTTGGAAGAAATTACAAGATTTTCAGCATCAAATTCAGATTACAAATAGAAAACCCCACAATGGTCTTTCACAATTACACATATTAGATATGATTCTATTTTGCACATTGCACCTTATTTTAGTAAACCCTTAGCTTAATAATCATCAGAATATAGCAAGAACTGAAACAGCCACTCATACCAACAATTTCAGGAAAGGTGACCCTTTAGGAGTGCATGCAGAAAAAGAAGAAAAAAAATAAAGATCCTCATTTTCTCTACCTAGAAGCGAACTATTACCGTTTTGTTTAGATTTTTTTTTTTAACTCTCTTAAATGAATTGCCCGGAAAAAGATTGAATCAGCAAACCATACAAATAGCAACTCAAAGCATGCGTTCGTGACATCCTAATGTAGTTACTTTTTAAGGAAAATCCCCCCAAAAATTGGATCTTTAGCTTCTACTTCAAGAGAAAACAGAAAAATGAAGGCCATTTTCCCCACTAAGAAGCAATTATAAACTTGCAACATTGCAATTTTCTTACATCTTATAGTAGAAAACAGTGGCCTCCCCTGAACCAGAAGATGGGATCAGATTCTTGTCCAAAACCGAGAGGATGTCTCGGCAAATCTTGGACAGCTCTTCCTCCACCTTATGACGATAACCCTTAATCAGCTTCACATTGTTCTCGTTGCCCTTGGTTTCCTCTTTCTGCTCGATTGAGGATAAAATTCTCCAGGAAGCTCGACGGGCACCAATCACGTTTTTGTACCCGACCGATAGCAGGTTCCTCTCGTCCACTGTAAGTTCGACATCTAGCTCCGCAATCCTTTTCATGCTCTCGACCATTTCTAATGCGCAAAAGGGGGCACGTAAATTTGGCAAAGACTACATTTTTACTCTTGGAAAAGTTAAAGAGAGACTAACATGGAAGCCATAATGATAATTTCAATCAATTGGATTCTTATAATTACTTTAAATCAAGCTGTCTCAGTCTATATACACATGGAAAAACCAATGAAAATTGTTCCTTAAAGTGATCTTTTCACAAGTGTAGGCATTCTAATCCATATACATCTACGTTCATTATGCATCATATCAGTACAAAAGAAACGCCTCTCAAATACACATATCCATGAAACGAAACGATACGCATTCTACATGTTCGATAAAATTCCCCAAACAAAAAACACAACGACCCACAAAATGCATTTCCAAAATTCAAATCCGGGCATACATAAACTCGGGCAATAAAGATCACTGGCATCGTACACAAGCGAATACAACAACGAAATGTGTATAAGCATACGATATATGTATATATGTATGTACTGTACGTATGTATATATATACCGTCATAACGTTCTGCTTGTTCAGAAAGCTTGGCCATGTAGACATGGGTCTCTCTCTCATTTTCGGTAGACATTTTCTTCTTCTCTGTTAACCCTTTTACGCTATTTGGGCTCTCGAGCGATTGAAGATCTGTTCAAAAATGGCGATGAATGTGTGAATTGTGAAGATGAGAGGGCAAAGAAGTTGAGGAAAAAAAACTGCAAATGAGAGGGTAAACGGAGAGGGAATCTGGGCCGTTGGATTAACGGGGCAGTTGAGTAAAGGAAAAAAAAAGCCCGAAAATGGTGGTTGTGTCTGTGATTATTTGAATCAGTAATGGAACTGTCCAATTGTCTGAATTTTATGTTTTACAAAATAGGAAAATGCTACACCATGTCACGGAACCATTACGTCGAGATTTTGTAAACGTTAGATCATCATGTAACCGTCGTGGATAGTTGATTTAACGGTTACAAACCCCGACGAAATGATTCCGTAACAGAACCGTAGAATCTCGCCTACAAAATAATATTGGATGAAAAATGACACCGAACTCCTTAAATCTATTTTATTTTTTCGATTTTTAAAGTGCCACATCATTCAAAACTTATTATAACTCATCTAATATAAACCTTTGATAATAATAAAGTCTATTTTATCAATCGCGCATGCATTACTCTCGAAATAGTAAAAATTATTTTGAACGGAATAAACGTTAATACAATTATAATGTTACACATGTCAAATTATACTAAAATTGACATTCACCAATGGAGACAAAATTTTGTAGTTCTTTTTCTCCATGTTATATATCTCCAAATGAACTATATACAATTGGAAATGCTCTCACATTTTATTGTAAAAAGGGAGCTTGTCCAAATACAAATCTTGTAGAAATTTTGGGTTTTTTCTTTTTGTTTTTTTTTTTTTTTTTGTTTTGTTTTTTTTTTTTCAATCTCATATCTGAGATTTGAGACTCAAGCATGTATTATCCCCTATCCCCTATATATTAATTCAGAACGCGTCGAGCCTACGTGGCTGCGTCTGGTGCTTCGAAATCCTATGTGGCAAAATTACATGCTTCGTTGTTAGGCTTGGATAAATTTTAATTTAATTCCAAACCAAAAATAATTAGGTTCGGATTACCATAAATATGGTGATTATTTATGGTCATGTTACATGCATTAATTGCATTTTAATATCATTCCTTATTATAACTATTGAATTGTATATGTATTTTAAAAGTTAATAACTTTTGTATTTTTTATTAGTTTTACATATGTAATATATCAAATTAATCTTCTTTTGATTATCTTCGATTTAACATCCATATTGTGTGTATAAAAAAATAATTTATATTTATCTTTATAACAATAATAAAATTATTTTTAATATTAATTAGAAAAATAAAATTATATATCAACTAATACATTTATATTTCAAGTAGTTATATGATATAAGTTATAAAAATTAATATAATATAGCACATGTAAGTCATAAGTAACACGTGTCATTCTAAAATATATAGTAATATATTTTTTATGTAAAAAAGTAAATTAAATTTAATATAGTTTTTTCATTAATTTTAAAATTTAAGAATAATTTTTTTACCAAGCACCCGTGTAATACACGACTGTTGTACTAGTAATAATAGAGAAGCTAAAGTTTTTAACTTTCTTATCATTTTTCTTTTAGGTAACATTTGTGACAATTTTTTTGAGTGTGGTTCTACTTCAACTCTTGATTGGTTGGGTATTTAGAATTAGTGGAAGAAGTTAATGCAAGAATTTGTTAAAAACATGTTATGCAAGTGGGAATTTCTTGCAATTTGTTTGGCTGCATTGCACTCATAGGTCAAAGAAAAGATTTATAATTTCAAAACCATATCTCAATTTCTATATCATTTCATTCAATGATTGACACACCATAATAGTAGTAGTATCGTTATGGACACGTGTCATTCATCCGATAGAAGTAACTGAAACATGATTTCAGAGAACTAAGTAGATTAATGACACACGTATGATAATAATAATAGTATCATTATGGACACGTGTCATTCATCCAATAGAAATAACTGAAACATGATTTTCTCGAGAACTAAGCAGATTAATGACACATGTATAATAATAATAGTAGTATCATTATGGACACGTGTCATCCATCCAATAGAAACAAAACAGTTGAACTTGAAACTTCAAAGAACATTAGTCTTAATAAAATACAAATGCAGGATTGATCTTGGACAATATATGGAACACAAAAAAGAAGTTGCAAGAGTTTGAACCACTTAGCAATAGTGCATGCCAAATGACTGGTAATGTAAATGATCCCAGCAAATAAACACCAAGAGAAAACGGATGATACAGATAAGAAAAAACAAAGAAGAAGAAGAACAAGAAAAAACCTTAGGCAAAAATCTTGAAAAAAAAAAAAAAATCTTCTACTTCTGCCCTTTCTTCAACAGCTCACCAATCTTCCTCAACACATTATTACCATTCCTTTTCTTCCCCGACTCCTCGTCGGCTCCACACTCATCATCATCCGTATCACCACCACCGTTTTCCGAACCCAATTTCCCTCCAATCACGCGATAGTCAACTCGTTTCCCGTTGACGGACAGCATGGCAGTTGCCACCTCAGCCGCCTTCCTCCACTGGTCCGACTGTACTTTCAGCCTCCTCAGCTCGGCTTCCAATTCCGAGTGCGAAACCTGAGTCGCATCGAGCTGCTCAGCTGCACGTTCGGCTCTTTTCCCGCTTTTACTCGCTTCCTCTGTTAAAGCACTCAGCTTTATCAAGCCCTCGTGCTCGATTTTCCTCCTCTCGACTTCTTTCTTCTCCATTTCCGATTTTAGTAACTCGTTCTCTTTCGCCATCCTCTCGATTTCCAAACTTTTTTCGTACAATTTCGACGTGAGGTCTCGTAATGTCGATTCTAGAGTTTCTGAGTTGAGCTCGAGCTCGATTTCTCTCTCGGTGAGTTCTTGAATATCGGTTTTTGACTCGTCGAGCATTGACTTTAATTCGGCTACTTTATAGTTCGATTCCGATTTTGCCCTCTCGACGAGCTCGTACGCGTTCCTGATCTCAAGCGTGCTCTGTATGTACTCGTCTCGGTAGCTCCTCTCGGCAGCTTCGAGCTCGGCCTGCAGATTTTGTACCTCAGTCCTCAGACTTTCCAATAATTCCTCATCAGCCCCCCCGGTTTTCTCAACAACCGACTTTTTGCCCTCCAACGACCTCACCCTATCCCTCGACTCCTCCAATTCGGCTTCGGCTCGAGTCGAGTCCTCCCGAGCTCGTTCGAGCTGGGCTTTTAGCTTTTGGATCTCGTTTATGGCGGAGGATAATGCGGCTGATTGCAGCTCGTGCTGCTTTTGGACAGCTTCGAGTTCGGATTGCCAGGCTCGGTCTCGATCGTGGGATAGTTTCCGAAGCTCCTGAAGACGGGAGTCCTCGGATTCGGATATCTCGTCCAGCTGGATCCGGGTCTCTTGGAGCTCTGCTGATGTGGCGGCCAGGTGTCGCTTGGCTTCGTCAGCCTCCAGCTCGGCTTTTCTTTTGAGAGACTCGCTCGAGGTTAGCTGGTCTTTGGTCTTTTGTAGTTCATCTTGGAGGTGGGACAGCTGGGATTCGAGCTCCGAGACTCGGGTAATTGGTTTTTTCTTCTGAAGATTTTTACAGAAATGAAAAAGAAAAAAAGAAAAAAAAAAAAAAACTGAAGTAACCTTAAACAAACAAACACGTTATGTTTGTTTTGTTTCAGTTAAGGATTCTTGTTCTGATAAGACAATCATTCTTTCATTTTAATTCAGCCCAGGCTCAGAATCTTTCTTTTTTTTACCTTTTCTTGAATTTATAGTGTTTGCAAAGAAGTAAATTATAATATAAAAGAGCATATTTTAACTTTAAGACATTAAAAAAGGAAAATACAAGAAAGAACTAAAGAATTCATGCTTATAGTTAAACATACACACACCTCGGTTATCAGATTTCGCGGTGACCTTCGGTCGATTACTTTAGAACTTTTGTTGTCCTTTGTCATTTTGCTGACCGGACTCGGAGAATCGGAATCTGATCCGGTAACTTTTAGCTTACGAACGACTCTTGGTGTAGACGACGATGATTTTTGCACCATCTGAAGAGAACCGGGTCTGCAGTAGAACAAAAAAAAGTAGACGAATTTTGCCAAACATAATTACACCTCAGCTGCAAAGCATTATAGACAAATCGAAGTTTTTTCGATTCTTTTTTTTCTAACATGAATCTTCTTTTTTTCTCTTTTACCTTGAAGTAGGTGTCTGCATATCTTATTGTTTCAGCAGTTTTTGAAGATTGCAACAGACTGTATGTCCTCAAAGAGCCTCACCTGACCCACAAAACTCAGTAATCACACTTCAGAAAAATTTTACTATCTTTTTATTTTATTTTATTTTTTCTCTATGAGAATCAAAAATTTCTTGTTATGAACATTGAATAATACAATTGCTTTGAGAAAAGAAAACAAAACTACTACTAATTCATAGTCAACATAAGTACCAAACTAAGGAATAAACAAAGCAAAGCAAAGCAAAGCCATCCCTTCAAAGTAAAACCACACAAACAAACTCCACTACCACCAACCAAAGCCCACAATACACACCAATAAGCTTCAATTTTCAAGAACACTCTTCATCACAAACGTTTGAAACGTAAAAAACGCGCTAAATTTGCCTTATAACGTTCCTAAACCGGCATCCGTTTGTGTTCGAATATATTTTGATGTTACTTTTTTCATTAAATTTTTATTCCTAGTTTGGTAAAAATATCTTTTTTCTCATACAAGAACCACCCTTAATAGAGACCCCATCTCAAGACCTCAAAAGGGCAAATACTAGATTTGCTGGTGACCTGAGCTCTTGCCTAATACTTCCTATTTTCTTAAACTCAATAACATAGTCATAATTAATTAGGCAATTTACTTGGGAAATGAAAGACACTGATTACACATGGTAACTATATATATTAAATGGGAGATGCTACCGTACGGAACCATTCCGTCGGGGTTTGTAACCGAAACTAAGGAATGGTTCCGTAACGGGACAGTAG